CCTCTAATGACAAACATAGTTGCCTGTTACAAAAGCGTTGCCTGTTACGTCAAGCGTGGTTTGCTTATTAGGACAAGTGTGGTTGCCTATTACAAGCATGGTCACATCTTATGGCAAGTATGGTTGCCTCTTACAACAAGCGGTGTCACCTCTTACGGCAAGCATAGTTGTCTCTTATAAAAGCACAATTGCCTTTTTCGACAAGCGTGGTCACCTCTATGACAATCATAGTTGCCTCTTAGGATGAGCGTGGCCACCTCTTACGGCAAGCATAGTTGCCTCTTACGATGAGCGTGGTCACCTCTTATGGCATGCATAGTTGCCTCTTACGATAAGCGTGGTCACCTCTTATGGCAAGCATAGTTGCCTCTTACGATAAGCGTGGCCACCCCTTATGACAATCATAGTTGCCTCTTACGATGAGCGTGGTCACCTCTTATGGCAAGCATGGTTGCCTCTTACGATAAGCGTGGTCACCTCTTATGGCAAGCATGGTTGCCTCTTACGATAAGCGTGGTCACCTCTTATGGCAAGCATAGTTGCCTCTTACGATAAGCGTGGTCACCTCTTATGGCAAGCATGGTTGCCTCTTACGATAGCGTGGTCACCTCTTATGGCAAGCATGGTTGCCTCTTACGATCAGCGTGGTCACCTCTTATGGCAAGCATAGTTGCCTCTTACGATAAGCGTGGTCACCTCTTATGGCAAGCATAGTTGCCTCTTACGATAAGCGTGGTCACCTCTTATGGCAAGCATGGTTGCCTCTTATGGCAAGCATGGTTGCCTCTTACGATAAGCGTGGTCACCTTTTATGACAAGCATGGTTGCCTCTTATGGCAAGCATAGTTGCCTCTTACGATAAGCGTGGTCGCCTCTTATGACAATCATAGTTGCCTCTTATGACAAGCATGGGTTGCTGAAAATGTCCTGCCACTGATAACCTCTAATACTGAGGCCACCTTCATATAAGTAGACATCACAAGTAACTATTAAGTAGGCCTTGTGAACTGCAAGTCTAAACATCTCTTAACAAAGATCAGCAACCTTCTAGCAATACCATATTGACATTATTGTGTGTTTGGTTAACACCTCACTATTCCAGTCATGTGACCATGGGATGTGAATAATCGAGTCTGTATGAGACAAGTCTGGGAATTATGTAACACAATACATGAGGTCACTAAGCCCAAGTTGGATGACCAGCTGTTGAGAATGTTGAAACATATGAATAAAAAATTTAAGAGTTTCAGAAATTTTTCCAAGCCCCTCAACAAAATTAATGACCAGTCTATAACCAAGCAGACAAACTAGTTCAAGGCATGCAAAAAACATGCGATATATTGACACATGTCAAACAGTGTAAGGGTCGAGCAGGTGCAAATGGACAAAGCAGGGTGGAATTCATGCAATGGCTTTCAGCTTCCATACATTTAACATTTGTGTATGAGCACACCCATTGCTGCCATAACTAATTAATGAAAAAAAACCCTCTGAGACTGCTCCCCTTAATGTGTGAGGCGAGCCCAGAGTGAAGCATGTTAAAGAGCTCCACCACATTAGTGAAAGCCACAAGCACAGGCTTCATGCTAATAAACCTAGAAATAGAATTGGGATGAACCTGGATTTGAACCGACAAGCATAGATTTCATTGCATGCAAATCTGGAAAGGAACTGATTAGCCACGCATCATAATCAAGGTAAATATTGGTTTCAATCTCTAGATCATCACTCTATGTTTACCTTTATGTGTCACTTACTTTCCTCTGCTTTGGCTAACACAAATACCCTAATACATACCGACTGACTGAGTTTGGTTTTACGCCGCTTTTAGCAATATTCCAGCAACATCACGGCGGGGGACGCCAGAAATGGGCTTCACACATTGTACCCATGTGGGGATTCGAACCCGGGTCTTCGGCATGGCGAGCCAACGCTTTAACCACTAGGCTACCCCACCGCCCTTAATACATACCGTACAACAGGTATGTAGTTAAAACAAATAAGCCCCATTTTCAAATTCATGGATATGATATTTAAGTTTAATTTCAGATGAGACACATTTTGTCATTCTCCTGGAAACACAAGGTGCTTACCGTGGTCTATCTTCTTTCTTCTGGCAGGAAAATGGTTCCAGTAAGCAGTTCCTGTTATGATTCACTCACATATTCGGTGAATGGAATTGTATCCCAGCGATAGAAATAATTTTGTTTCTAAGTGTGCCTTAAGGCACCAGACAAATATTTTAGGTGTGCCTTTCAGAAATCAAGTATGCCCACATGTTTTTAGAGTAAATGACAATGATGATGATCATTTGAAATTTATTGTTAAATAAAGAAGTGAACATTCAGATATGTATGGTATTATTCAATTTGGAAAAAAATGATTGTTGTGGGGATTAAATGACTAAATGTGAGTTATGTCTCTTAAAAAATTAGGCGTGTCAATAAAGGGCACCAAGAATATTTTTTAGCCGTGCCATTTCTGTAAATGGGGTATTTCGAACCCTGTATCCATTCATGAATTCAAATCATTATTTGTGGTCACTTGAACTGAATATTTACAGAATAAATTAAGAGTGCTTTTTACTTAGTACTAAGTGAGAGATGCAGAATGGAATATCCAAGCCATGCAGTAGCACAATGTGTGTTATTTTGCCTACATCATTATGCGATAAGAGGCATTGTTGAAGCATTTCTTGCTTTACAGAAAATATCACTGAAATATTTCAACATAAGCAACTACAACTACAATGACAAGTTTGTTATTTTCATTCCTTGATACTAAACATATAGTGTCCATGAACAAATATTCGTATTCATTACTACATAATTGTAAACATCTGCATTCACGTCACAGTGTATTTGTTGCAGCCTTACTACACGCATACACCAAGGTAAAAGTACAGTTGGTCTTAAAAGTACTGGCATAATGACCACCAGCTGCCATATTGACCACTTGATCCATTTTGGGGCTGCTTGTATTGATTCCCATGATATGTCCCATGATTATTGTCCAGTTATCCTGATAAGATTCTGGCCTAAACCACCACAAATTGCAACAGAAATGATTTCAACTGTTTTAAGACATCTCAGTGGTGGAACAAGGTCAAATTCAACACTCAAGGTCATGGCTATAGGGTCATCTTCGCTTTCGAAATCTTACAGTTCTTTACCAATATATCAGTGGTGTCAAGCACTACAGCATGTTATTAATCAACTGAACATAATAAGCCTACAGCAGCCCCATCAGATATTTAGAAACACCATATGGCCAATATGTGTTTAATGGACCAGCACAGGAATTGAGAGGGCTTTGCTGAGGGGAATTATGCTTTTGTGTGGGATTGAATAACTCTGCTTTATATTTGTTGTTTAAGGCCTCGCTCAGCAATATTCCTTTGACAGCATGCCTTCGGCCAGTATGACCTTGGCCCTATTTTAACATGACAGTAGTTCTTCAATGTATGTTTGTGATAAAAAAATTATTTAATTAACATAATAACAAGCACAATGAAAAAATTTACTGGAAAATTATGAATTTTGACACCTTTCAGAATATCAATATTCTTCATATCAATAACATTCACACAGGTTCAGTGTACATTATGTTATTACCAAATGTAATCTCCAAAAGTCCACAGGGATCATTCGATTTCTGGCCCTTTGAAGTACAAGTACTTTGACCCACCCATCACACATATTTAACTCTGTTTTTATGACAAGCTAAATTGTGAAAATTGAAATTCTAATTTGGGAATGTTTGCTCACATTTTCCTCTGACTTTGTGACGAATATGTATGTACTGATGCAATGTATAGTAGTGGTGGTCCGATTAATTGAAATAATCGAAGATTGGTCGCAGTGACTATACAACCAAGCAATCGATCATGTTTTCTCATAATCGAACACAAACAATTCTGGAACACTTGTTTTCATTAACAATATATTTCACAAGGTTGGTTTTGTCTGTTACATTTCATAAGCACTACAAGCTCGTTCCAAGTCATGATTGAATATATCTTAAAGACTCTAAGAAATTTATGTTCCTTACATACTTGTCATCCTTTAAAGATATGAAATTTTGCACAAAAAACCCGCAAAGAACTACATGTTTTTTCTCCTTATTTGAGCATTAACAAAAATAACCAGGAACATTACATAAATGACGATAACAATTTATTTTCGATGATTGATCGGTTGTAATGACCCAATCATAAATTATGAGATTTTAACCAATTCCCAACACTAATGTATAGTTTAAGAATAGGGAAGGAAACACACAAAAGTTGCAGACAGACAAGGGAGACAACTAGACTACATACAGGCATGCACAAACTCCATGCAACATTAGGCTTTAACAACCTTATCACTGACACATCGGTGCTACAAACTAACTTCCTGCATCCTTTTCTTAAGTCAAGTGTTGTCTATAAATGCTGAAAAATGTATTTCTACCACATCAGAAATGGCAGTCTTCAGTGACAGTGTCCACAACATATCACACACAATGTCTTGTTTTACAAAATTGTCCAGTATGCTTTGAGAAAAATCTTTTTGTTTCAATAGAAAGGCAGCTCTTACAGATATAAAAGGAGGATATATCATGTTTGTTTTTTTAACACATTAAAAATTCAAATGTCAGATCATGGCTGGAAGGCATCAGTGTGTTAGCTACGACCTGGGAACATTAAAGCAACAAAACAGAATCCTAAGGTTTTTTAGGGCTATTCAATCACATGCATAGACATTACAATAACAAGCATGCAAATATACTTCTAAATGTTGAATCATGTGTAGCACTTTTATAACTGGATTTTTCACTGTTGATATATTTGTAAATTCTAAGAAAATGGGAAATTGGAAATTCAAACTGGAAAATTTTAGTTATTTGCTGCAGACCAGGGCCTAAATATTGACCTATGAGCAGGTATTTAAATAACCCGGTTCTTAAAAATCTGCTCCGATGTGTTGATGGAACAGTCAAAGGGAGACAACTCTTACCTCCCACAGCAATCTTGGTGCCGTCCACGCCGTACTGTTGTGGATTCTGCAGCAGGTGTAGTGTGGCCGTCACACAGTCTTCAAACGGGATCGGGAAGGGGTGCTCTGGAGCAAGGCGGTATCTAGAGACAAATGTTTCAATGATTAAAGATGGATGCATGTGAGTTAACTCAACAGGACTTTTAGAGTCAAGTATCTCCCTGAAAACTCCCTGGTTTTATAGTGCTCAGGATTGCGTTTGTGAAGCATGTTTAAGACGTGCACTGACTCTGAGTGACTGAGTTTGGTTTGCGCCAGGCTTTCACCAATATTCCAGCAAACATCATGGCGGGGGGATCAACCAGAAATGGCCTCGGGCCTCCGGGACACACAATGTACCCCATGTGGGGATTCGAACCCTGGTCTTCGCATGTGAGTTAGCTCTACAGGACTTTTAACCCCTATCTCCCTGACAACTCCCCTGCCTCTGCACCTGCAGAAATATTCCGGTTATATGGTGGGGGTCTCTACATAATTGGGTCTGGACCAGACAATCCAGTGATCAACAGCATGATCATCAACCTACACATGTGGGATATGACCTTGCCTTAGGGAGATCCATTATGCAGCAATACCTGAACTTCTTGCAACATGAAGAATCTTAAAAGTAATTATTTGGTAGTATTTTCATGTACAGGAATAAATGAAGATTCAAGAAATCAATAAAATAAATAGACAGATATAACAACAAATATTCAGCATGATAGACTAAACGTTGACTTTTTAATAATAAATGATAAGCACTGAATATAGGTACTCTCTGAAAATTCCCTAGAAGCAAACCGCCTCCGTGGTGTAGTGGTTAGAGCGTCCGCCCAGAGAGCGGAAGGTCGCGGGTTCGAACCCCGGCCGCGTCATACCAAAATACGTTAAAATATGGTACTTGTTGGTCCCTGCCTTTCGCTCGGCATTAATGGGTACATCAAGGACTGGTCGAATCGGAGTCAGGATAATGTGTTTGAGTGGGGTATCCATGCTTCACTGCGGCGTGGTATCTCAGTGGGCTAGCACTATAAAACTAGCTTCAGTCTGGGCTAGTACAAGCAGCCGCACGTACACATACACACGCATGCACGTCGTCATATGAGTGCAATATTCTCAAGCACGACGTTAAACCCAATTTCACCTCACTTCACCCCTAGAAGCACCTTTGAAGGAGCACATCAAAGAACTTCATCATGTACATGCCAAGAAAACATTGTTTTCATTATTTCCAAAATAAGCGAAGAACAAAACTTGGTAAACTATTAAATATGAAAGTAGGAGCTTAGTGGGTGACTAAGTAAGTTTTAGCAATATTCCTGCAACATCACAGCGGGGGACACCAGAAATGGGCTTCACACATTGCACCCATGTTGGGAATTGAATCCTGGCCCCGATTTCTCGAAACAAACTTAAGTCTGAGTTTTGAGTTTTTACTCAAATTTGAGAAAACGCATTTCCCAGAATGAGCTGAAATCGATATTTAATTCAAATATAGTAGATAATTTAAGTTTGGTGAATAGAATACTGAAGTTGTTTGGGCTTTTTGTATTTTAAAAATGCAGCTGAGTTAAAATTCAGCTGTTACAAATAGTCAAACTCAGTTTGAAATTTGAGTAAAAACTTAAGTTTGTTTCGAGAAATCGGGGCCTGGTCTTTCGCAGTACACTCAAACCACTAGACTACCCCACAGACCAGTAAAGTCCGTAGAGTGAAAATATTATCGACTAAAAGTGACATCGTTGATATCTTACAGCATCTAGTCATGCTCATTTGGATGTTTGTTATTAACGTGCCAGTCAATAAGATTCCAGATATAAGATGAAAATATCTAGACCAGACAAACCAGTGATTCTGTTTCCCATCACCATCCTGTCCTGAATTTTCATTCAAACATGAAGTAAAACCGAAACTTTTATCTCCATTTTACTGCTGCCCTGACGTGCCCTCATCAGCAAATACTCATGCTATCACAGTGTCACAACCTGAAACAGGCCAAGCTACCCTACCCTGAATATGCAATCCACTAAGGTGCCTCCTATACCCCACAAGCAATGGTTGCAGTTATCTGTTCTAATCTAGAATCCCCTAGACAGATGTGTCTCCAAATCTGTGCTCTGCCGTGTGGCTTATCATAAATTATTTATGCTATCACAGCAATGGTATAAGAGTAATGCTATTTTTCTGGGTATTATCATTTGCAGAAGCCCGAGGTCTTCCATTAACTGCCCGACGAAGGAGGGCAGTTGAAAAAGACGGAGGGCTTCTGCAAATGATAATGCCCTCAAAAATAGCATTACCGTTATTATTGCTAAAATACATGGAATTTGTGTTGAAAAGAAAAAGGAAACAATGAAGGAATTTGACTGTAAGTTTACTCAAAACCAACTTCTGACGGGGTTGACTGCCTGAATGCAATTACGTCATCTAACAATTCAAGTGACGTCACAACAGAAAGTGATGATATTCGACCTTGGCCTTTGACAAGACCATAGCCTGCAACATGTCAAACTATGTCAGTGTTCGGTTTTGATCAAACAACAACGTTAATAGTGCAATTGTTAAGGTTAGCACCAGCAAGAAAGCCAATATTACCGCTATTTTAAGCGGGAATTCGGGTTGCTTTGACTTGTTTGACCCAGAATATCTGCCAGTCCAAAGCCAATGTCGAATGAACCGTAAGCCCACGCACCCACTATGACGTCACTTGACAACAGAACTGATAGTGGCCCGTCGTTAAGGTTGAGCGGTCCAATATCATTTGCAGCGGCCCTCAAATTTCTGATAATGGGAGGGCCGTTTCATGATAATTCCATGTATTTTAGCTATAATTGCAGTTATCTATCTAAACCCAGAGCCGCCAAGGTGGGTATGATCAGACAGACACTCACTCAACAGACATCACAACGATGTTGGCAGCCTTGGCAATCTCTGCTGTAAACTCATCATACTGGTCTGAAAACAAAAAAACATCTTATACCAACTGGAATTTTTTTCAAAATATACAAGAAAAAGCACATTAAAATCAAACAATTCTCTCTAAACTAATCTTGTTCATCTGTGGTAGAAATTGACAGTTATGTAAAATTTACACTGTTACTTGCTATCAAAATATACTTTTTTGAAGAAAATAACTAAAGATAGCATATAGTGATATGCATCGAATCGAATCGTATCGTTCCAAGATATCGCAATACATATCGTATCGTGACACCTCTAGTGGTGTCCCTGTAAAACAGTGTCAAAGAACACTGGCTTGGTGTATTGGCAGACACACTTTCCATGCCTAGGATACGATCCCAAAATTTGACATATACCAGGGCTCCAGATAAGGGCCGTATCGGCGTATGTACGGATATAAAATAAGCACGATACGGTATAAAATAATTTAGAAATCGTAGCAGATATGCACCACAGCAATGGTATGCGGTCTTGGAATCATTTACAGATGTTTTTATCTGAAAAAAGTATTGTTTTATTGTTTATTGATCTGTTTACACAAAAGTAGCAATGTTGTGGTGCTTATATGAAACGAAACACAATATTACTGATACTCCATTAAATTCCATTCAGTACTCTAAATGTACTCTTATTGTTTTCCAGTCCTCCTATATTGAAAAAATAAGGAGTCCGTACTACTGATCATGAGAAAATATCTGGAGCCCTGATATACAGTGGAAGCCGCCTAAGTAAAGACCGCTTAACTGAACAGACCGGATAAGTAAACACTATTCTTTGGTCCCGGCAAATTTCTTTATTAATTATCACTATTAGAGTCCGGTTAACTAAACTCGGATAAGTAAACAATACCGCTAAACTAAACGTCTTCTCACAGTCCCTGGAAATAAATTACTTAACAAAAGAGACCGGATAACTAAATTAGCGATCACCACATAATCTGACATCCTACTTACAGCTTGCTGGCGTCATGCAGTTGACAATACCCTGACAACTGGAGGCCAGCCCTGATAAGTTGTTCATTGTTTTATGTAGCTTGCGAGTATCAGTGAGTAGACCAAATAGCAATGTCAGTGAGTTTATCCAATATTCATATTACTTACAAATGTTTTCTGTTATTCTGCTGTATACATATACATGCATATGGTTGTCATTTGCAGGTTTTCGATAAATTTGGATAAGTAAAATACCTGATAAGTAGTGGTGGTCCGATTAATTGAAATAATCGAAGATTGATCGCAATGACAAAACGACCAAGCAATCAATCATGTTTTCTCATAATCAAACAAAAACAATTTTGGAACACTTGTTTGCAATAACAATATTTTTCAAAAGGTTGATTTTGTCTCGACATTGCATAAGCACTACAAGCTCGTTCCAAGTATGATTAAGTTTATCTTAACAACTCCAGGAAATGTATGTTTTTAACACACTAATCATCCTTAAAGATGTGAAATTTGCAAATGCATTTTGTGCAATTTGCGGAAAAAACCCCGAGAGAACTACATGTTTTTTCTTTTTGTGCATTAACAAACATAACCAGGAAAATTTGATAAATGACGCTAACCAATTATTTTCGATGATTGATCGGTTGTAATGAACCAATCATCAATTATGAGATTTACACCAATTCCCAACACTACTGATAAGTAAACAAGTTTGGAGAGTCCCTTGAAATTTTACTTATCAGGTTTCCACTGTACCTCGTAATATATTGTACATCTGGGTCTCATGAAGCCATTTCTGCCAGTTATTGCCTCAGTCAGAGCCTTACTGGCTAAAGGTGAATACATAAACAATGATAACATCCCAAGCAGGGAACACAACAGCAAAATTCAATACACAAAAACATCTAGGAAACAAATCCAAAGCACTATTTTGACAAAGTTCTACGTTTTGTGTCATTTGGGCTGGAATGATTTTAATCAGAGTGAGTGTGGTTTTACATCGCTTTTAGCAATATTCCAGCAATATCACAGTGGGGGACACCAGAAATGGGCTTAACACATTGTACCCATGTTGGGAATCGAACCTGGGTTTTCTGCAGGACAAGCGGACGCTAAACCATTAGGCTACCCCACAGCCTGGTTTTACTAAGAAATGCGATGAACGCATCCATTATCTGGGACTGAGTCGACTCACCAACGCTTCCAAAGATCCAGCCACCGCCATGGAAATACACCAGCGCTGGGCTTGGTGTCGGGGCACTCTTAGGTCGGTAGATTCTCACGCTGATCCCAGATAACCTGGTGTCGGTCACCTGGATGGACAAACGGACAAAACATTGATTATTTTGTGACAACATTACATCTATCTCACGATCTTAAGACTGGGGTGTGGTCAAGGCATCTTTCACATATGAATCAATGAATTGCAAATAAAACTATTTTGGTGTGATATGACATTAGCTGTATCAATGTATTAAAAATCCAAATATTTTGAGATCGGTTGGCATAAGCTTTGTCAATGCTTATTTTTAGATATACGACATTAGCTATATCGATTTATCATAAACCTGTCAATAATATGGACCATTTTGCACATACCATACTGACTATCGGTATATGTCCATATTGAACACGAGGGCTGAAAATCCATGTCAGCCTTATTGTCTGGCTACTAAACAGGTATGGAATGAATACACGCAAATGCTCGAAACTTCAGTAGACGTAGACTACTTTAGTTTAGAGTTACATCATCTTATGTAGTGTATGATAAAAAGGTTATGATTAATAATACATAATAATAATAATGTGGGTATTTATATAGCGCTACATCCAGGCACTAATACTTGCTCATGGCGCTACAATACTATAGGACAAAAGACAATAGTTGTGTAACGATTCATCGATAGTATCGATGTTTACATTGTCAACTACACGATACGAGTGCATCGATGCAAAACACATTTAGGCAATATATCTGGATATTTTTATCGCGAGGGTCCATGATACATCGATGTATCGCCACAAGAAACGATTTATCCCGATACAACTTAAATACTACTTAAAGTTGTAAGGAGTATTGCATTAGGAATAGGAAAGGAGTCTCTTTGAAATTCTTCTGAATTTAAAAAAAAAATTGAATTTTAAAGGAATTTGTTTGTGTCTGTTATCTTTGTTACATGAACAAAGGAGTTGGTGTATAAGTCAAAGAGTGTGAACATTTTACAAACACTTTGACCTGTAGAATACTTGTCTTCAAGTAATTGGAATATGCAGATATGTTTTAGTTGCTTGACAAATAACATCATTTATTAACAACTATGAACGATGTCTTAGCTTTGTTAAGAGGAGAACAAAGGGAAGATAAAGTTTAGAAAGCAGACTAAAGAGGTTTGTTTTCATTGATTCTCAATTCTGATATAAATTACAGTGAGTTGTTTGTGAAACCACTGGCGTTGAAGTACAACCTCCCAAAGGAAATTTTTTGGCTAAATTATCCTACAATCGCCAGCAGCTGAAGGGATGGTGTAAATCCAGCTAGGCTCCATGCAGGTATCAAAAGTAATGTAAGTCCCCATGGTTCCTAGTATGGTGATCTACCTTCAGTTGTTGGCGATCTGTAGCCCGTGTTTTATATTGTATTGTCTTCTTTAATTACACTGTTTTAGTTTTACATGCTAGTTTTATGTTCACATCTGTGATACTCTAGTATTTTTACTGTCCATCGTCAACAGGTTTAACTCTTCACAATGTTTTCATTTTTGTATCATATAAATTGTTTTCGTCACGATATGGCTGAGATATTGCCGATATGACGTTACAAAAATTAACTCACTCACTCACTCCCAAGGGAAACTTCACTTTCAAATTAATAATATATTAGATCAAGGTATACTGAATATGTTTGACTGCACTTTCTTAAAGGAGAATACTAACGTAATATTATTTTTTGATATATGGAAATAAGAATCCTAAAAGTCAGTTTCCGTTATTAAAATTTCACAAAAACTTTGTAAAATCGCAATAATAACGTGAAAAACGCCCTCGCGAATTTCCGCCTATTACGGAAATACCCAACAGTTAATGAGCAGAGGCGGGTATCACGTGACATGATGTCAAATGTGCCTATTGCCGGTGGCTTCCTCTTTGGTTATATTTGACAACTTGACAGTGACCATGGATTCTGAAGCAATAAAAGATGTTCCCGATGTCTTTTTTTACCTGGATGTTAGACCGAACCAACACCAGCCGATTTTACATCATGCAAGAGAAACTTCCAGTGAAGATGAAGAAGAAGAATCCATCGAAACGGAGGCACCGCTTGATTCAATTCAATTAATTTATTCGGTGGTTTGGCCATGTGGCCCAAAGTACAATTGGTTGTGACGACATAGGCGTAGCACGTGACAGGAGGACATATGTACATCTACACATAGGAATTAAGATAATACAATCTACTATAAAAGCAGAGAATGCAAGATTAAAGGACAAAATAAACATGACAAGATTAATGTTAAATAAAAACTTCAAGGAGAATATAGAAGTCGCCCATCATATGTCAACTAAACAAACAAAGGACAAGTCACTAAAACAATGTGAAGCCATTGTGATCAATAGGTGACGCTTATTTGAAAAAACGGTAATGATTCCCTTACTCTTTGTGGCTTTCGCCGCGACGAGGTTTGTACTTGAAATGTGGCTTTAGCGGCAATGGGTATTTTTCAAATGTGGCTTTCCAGGGCGGACACCGAACATCTTCATGCATATTTGGACAGAAGTTATGGTTTGGATATGTTTTGTATTGAGAACAGATAGATTTGGTAATTGAATCTAAGTAAATATTGTGTTCGGACATCCGTATACCTTTCACAGTTTTGTTTATCCTAACATTTTACGCTGTCGGCACTTGTTCACATCTTACAATCTATGCAATTAGGTATCATTTTATTCTTACGTTCATCGGAATTCGTTTTGTTGTACCAAATCGTCCTGAAAATTACACGGCTTATGGGATATTTGTTTATAACAACATTCAAAGCAGTAAGCACGTTTTCTGCTTGATGGGTAAAGGTGTGTGTAGCCGGCGATCGGCTCAAATGATTCTCATTTAGATGTTTTCATTGTACTTTAATATATTCTTATAAGACGAGTATATATGGATGACAACGTTTAACTTCTTCTTTATTGTTGTTGTTGTTGTTGTTGTATGGTTTGTTGAAGAATATCATTATTTGACAGAGTGCAGGTGCTTTTCATATGAGTACAATGTGTGAAGCCCATTTATGGTGATTCATGGTGATATTGCTAAAATATATCTAAAAGCGGCGTAAAACTAAATTCCTCACTCACTTTGGGGAACATTATATATACTCGTCTTATATATTCACCAACTTCTAAATGCCTCTCAAGAATCTTAATATATTCTTAGGTGTGACTGTGAGTGCATGCCGATGCCAACTGGTCTTGAAAGTAAGACTCGGAATGATCGGAACATTTCTCTTGCCTAAATCTGTCGTTTTTCTTATAAAAAGGAAGGAATGGTGGCTCTTTTTATTGTTCGATGATTCCGTGCATACCCCGGCAACGGAATACACCATCGTACCATTTACAAAAACGACAGAAACAACACGATTTGTATTACTGTAGCGCTTGGTCTTTGGCAAGCGGAAATTTCACGTGAGTTCCAGCAGAATATGCATAATGGCCGAAGCTCAGATAACAGAAACTGTTTTCGCGATTAAAACATAAATATGCATATTATTTAATTGAAAATTTGGGTATGTGTTTCTGATGACTTTATCTTTCACCCAGCAAATTATTGCAATTCACTCGTATTCCCCTTTAAGCATTAAATTTTGAAACGTTATTAGATGAACAGCTCTTTAAGTGTGTCTGAATGTAAAGCAAGTTCTGCTGTATAACAAATAAAGTTTCAGTCATTTTATCTACTATATATGTTCATCTTTTAGAAATTGTAAAGTATCAGGATACGTATCGTATCAGCACAACTGCATCGTGATGATAATCGTCTCGCAGGTTCCTTGCCAATACTTTCATGATGTATCTTCTCGCCTCATTAAACTGGTATCGGGATATATCGTCTCGCCACTTAGGCCACGATACACAGCTCTAGTTATATGACAGTTTCCCTTTCGCCAGTCATATCAGCCCGAGGCTACCATGTCAGCCCTCGGGGCCTTCGACTGATATATGAAAAACTGTCATGCAATAACCTCTTTGTATCTAAACTCCAGTACGACATAAGCTGTATCAATGCATAGCCACTCCACAGGGGTGGACATAACCCATTGCCCGACGACCGAGTCCAGTGTTTTTTTCTGTCGGGCAAGCAAATTTGTATATCATGCTGTACTTTCCAATATTAATTATGTTGTTTATTTAAAGAATCAACAAGAAAACAGACGGTATAGCGGAAAAATTATCAGGGCAAGTGATTTTACATGTGACACTGTACCGGAGTACACTAGCAATTATAAAGTTATTTCCACCCCTGCTCCAACCAGTCTACGATCGTCTTGATCATAGTAATAATTGGTTCCTGTTTTATTTGCACAATGTAAATATTGTTATGATTGTGTCTAGTGTTGGGAATTGGATGAAATCTCACAATTGATGATTGGTTCACTACCAACGACCGATCATCGCAAAGAATTGATTAGCGTCATTTATCAGATTTTCCCATTCAAGTTGACCTTGCAGATAAGCATAACATGGTTGTCTGTTGTTGTTTTGTTGTTGTTGTTTTTTGAGTTTTTTTGTCTAGGTTTTTATGTTTGTTTTTTCTTTGGTATTTTTCTTTTGTTTTGTTTTGAGCTAGAAACTTGCATAATGCGTTTGCAAATGTCACATCCAATGCAAAATGATGCAACTTTAAGGTAATGACTAATATATCATTAACATAAACTGTATGGAGTCTTTAAGAAATATTCAGTCATGACTTCAGTAAGTGAAGTGAGTTTACTAAGAATTAAAAACGTTTCCGGGCCCTGACAACTTCTATGATATGTTCCATTGTCAAGTGTTTCAAATACTAAAACAGTAGTTCCAAAATCGTTTGTGTTCGATTATGAGAAAATGTGATCGATTGCTTGGTCGTTTGGTCACTGCGACCAATCTTCGATTATTTCAATTAATCGGACCACCACTAATTGTGTCCTCTTATTGCCTATATAAGTCTTGTGGTTTACAATTACAATAGATTAACGGTCGATTTCTGAGCTCCGATTTTCAGTCTGCATATTGTGAGCAAAAAACCAACACTTGTAGTTACTGGATCCGTATGTTGGGACTATAGTACCCATGTTGTGAATCAACCCGGGTCTTCGGCGTGACAAGCAGACGCTTTAACCCTCAGGATACCCCACCACCCCCCTGCAATGAATGACACACAAACCTTGAGAAGGGGGTCAGACTTTGACGCCACTGCCTGACTAGCCACCATCTTCATTAACCTCCGGGTCACGTTGACACTGCTTCCTAGGCCCACCAGCTCACTCACGCCACTCTGCGGGAAAAAAACAAACATATACAGTCTGTGTTCATGTACCCCTGCACTCAAGTGATGAAAACACAATGCGTTTTAGATAGTGTTCAGAAGTAACAAACCTGTGAAGAACCGGGTTTAATTGGTCATTAGGTGGGTCGTCATGATCAGACTCGCTGACTTGGTTCACACATGTCATCGTTTCCCAACTGTGTAAATCCATGCTCATGATGCTGATCACTAGATTGTCTGGTCCAGACTATTTACTGACTGCCGCCATATAGTTGGAATATTGCAATGTGCGGCGTAAGTGAGTGAGTGAGTTAATATTTAACGTCACATCAGCAATATTTCAGCCATATCGTGACGAAAACAATTTATACAATAAAAAATGAAAATATTTTGAAGATTAAAACCTGTCGATGATGGACAGTAAAAATACTAGATAATCACAGATATAATATTAAACTAGCGAACAAAGCTAAAACATTCCAATAAAAGAAGACAATACAATATAAAATACGGGCTATAGATCGCCAGTGCGGCGTAAAACAACAAACAAACCCACTGTGACTAACTTTGGCTATACAACTAGGCCAATATAAAAACACATACTTCCTATCTCAGAGCAAAAGTTTGCACCTGCATGTTAATATTTTTAGATGAAAGTTTGTTTTTGTCAAACCTCGGATATGTAAAATCCTTCAAACAGCCCGACCTACCTACCCAATGTTCATAAAAATCACTCACAAAGAATGGTTAATGAGTTCAGGATCAATGACTTCGGCGGTGCTGAGTGGGCTAGATTGCCGAGTTTGTGTGTTGGCGATCAGTCCCAAATTTCTCGAAACAAACTTAAGTTTTGACTTAAGTTAGAGTTTTTACTGAAATCAGGAAAATGCATTTCCCAGAATGAACTGAAATCGATATTAAACTCAAACATTGTAGACAATTTGAGTTTGGTGGATAGATTATAAAAGTTCTTTGGGCTTTTCTATTTTAAAGATGCAAATGGGCTTCACACATTGTCAAACTCAGTTTGAAATTTGAGTAAAAACTTATCTTTTTTTGAGAAATCGGGGCCTGGTGCCTGGAGTACCTGTTGTGTTGAAATGATACAAAGAAACTATTGGGCCTTGCAAGGATCATAATGTGATTGTCGTAACCTCATAAGTCATCACTATAAATTAATGGTCCCTATGCAATCTGACGCAACAAGACCACACAGGAAATGCACCCAGGGGGCTATGTGTTTATGTGATGGCACCGCTTGTACTAGTCGTGGTCAGATTAATTGAAATAATCGAAGATCGGTCGCAGTGACTAAACGACCAAGCAATCGATTGTGTTTTCACATGATCGAACACAAACAATTTGAAACAATTGTTTGCATTAACAATATTTTTCACATGGTTGGTTTTGTCTGTGTCATTAAATTTATGTTTCATAAACACTATGACCTCGTACCAAGTCATGATTGAATTTATATTAAAGGCTCCTGGAAATTTATGTTCCTAACATAGTACTGGCAAACAAGGATAAGTTGGACCGGCGCAGAGAAGACGTTTACGAGAAGTAGGCGGTGCATGGCAATGAACCAACCCATTTGGTTTGTGAAAGGGAGAGTAGATGTAGGCTAGTACATGTGCATTGCATGACGTTGAAATTGATTCCACGCGTACCTGCCACACGCATTGAGCAACTTGTTTCACCCATCGCTAACAATGGCAAGCGCCCGTGGGTGGCTCTCATACAATGCAAAATACAGGTCAATTGTCAGGTTGGTGCTCAACTTATCCTTGTTTGCCAGTAGTAATCCTTCAAAGATGTGAAATTTGCAAATGCATTTTGTGCAGTTTGCAAAATTTTGTTCATAACAAACAGACCTGAAAAATTTGACAAATGATGCTAACCAATTATTTCGACGATTGCTCGGTTGTGATGAACTAATCATCAATTATCATATTTTAACCAATTTCCAACACTAGCTTGTACTGAAGTAAACAGTAAACCTTACACTGGAACAAGATCATTCTGCATATTTTTTCTGAACATATGGGATTCTGAACCCATGTTACCACAATGATCTTGGCCAGTTCCACCTGTACTTACAATGAGTTTCACGATCTTGAAGCCAGCGAGCATGGAGCGGAGTTTCCAGGGTTCTGCCATGGAGTCTGGCACAGGTGTGTACAGGTACGCAGACAGTCCAATCATCAACACTGATATGGTGATGGCCAAAACCTTCAGGCAACCCATGCTTGCTACTCGGAACTGAAACAGTGAGGTTGGTTAGAAGTATTTCAGCTGTGACAACGTGTGGAACACAAGAATGGGCTTCAGATACTGTACCTTTGGAGGACTGACTGAATGAGTTTGGTTTTACGCCACTTTTAGCAATATTCCAGCAACATCAAGGTGGGGACACCAGAAATGGGCTTCACACATTGTACCCATGTGGTGATTCAAACCCGGGTCTTCGGCGTGACGAGCCAACGCTTTAACCATTAGGCTACCCCACCGCCTCGTACCTTTGGAGGAATCAAATATGATGACTATTGAGGGAGAAACAACTATTGCGATAGCGATAGTTTATTGCAACATACTATTGCAATAGTTTTCTTCTCCTTGAATTGTCTCATTTGAAGTCATTTCCCAAATAAATGTATGGTTTATATGAAATGAAAACAAGCTCAAGTAGTTTCAGTCTCTTTTAATACGAGACAAGAAACTTGAAACAAGGTCAAGTTTGTTTAAGAGGTAACATGGGCGGATAACTCTAAATCAAAGTGAACAATCTGGTACTTTCAGTATTTTGTGCTGCGCCATTTATGAATGGAAGTCAATTACTACATTATCGATAGTCACGCGTACTATCGATGCATCGATAGTTTTTCGTTTCTGTCATCGATTAATTGCTATTGGAGACTCAACAATTGCAATCCATCGATAGTTTGATGCAAAGTGACAGCCCTAGAATCAAACTGCATTCTTTGACACAAAGAGTCAGTGTTTAACCAGGAGGTGAGTCATTTCCATCAATTATAAATGGAGTTGTCTAATCTGTATTCGTGTATTCACTTGGTGATTCTTGTTTTGATGCAGTGGGTTAGCCTTACGTTAAAGTGTCCACTCATCACGCTGAAGACCAGGGTTTCGATTCTCACATGGGTACAAAGTGTGAAGCCAATTTCTTGTGTCCCCTGACGTGATATTGCAGGAATATTGCTAAAAGCCGCGTAAAACCATACTTACTTGTTTTGCCATTATTGATATTTCTGGCAAATGAAATATTAAAACCAACTTTGGCTGGCATTTCTTTTTGTGACTTCGGAGGGATTAGGTTTGACATTAATACAGCCAAGCCAATATGCAAACAATGGCACAAGATAAGGCCTTTTCAATCTTTTATTAGTTTTTAATCAGATGATTACTACAAAAATTACTCCAAATAGTCATTGTTTTGTCAAGGGATACAGTGTCTAAGTCTGTCTGCATTTATTTCTGTGTTTCCCCATCTCCCACCAACTCTCATCCTCGATAATCTCCAGGGTATACGTTACGATCACTCTTCACTATACCCTGGATGCATCCACGGCTTGGCCCGAGTATTTTATTACCTCCCTTTGCTGTTTTTTTTATCCAATCAGGTGTCTACGCTGGGAAGTTGAGCGAACCAATCACAACTCACTTTCGCTTCTTAAATTATCTAACCGTTTAAACTTGGCAACACAACTGATGCAGAGGTACTCTGAAAAGAGGTAGAAGGAGTTCTTTCATATATTCTTTTAAAGTTTCAGATCTATCAATTTGTATGTATTATTTCCCAAAAAATATGCACTGCGAACAAACCTTCGCGACTGTGACCGCTATCTTTGTTGACACTGGCAAGCTAAGATGTAACGGCGGCTTAGCTGATTGGCTACTGTGAGAATGCGAAGACAGCAAAGGGAGGTAATATAGTTATCGGGCCAAGCCTTGGATGCATCCAGGGTATAGTGGAGAGTGATCGTAACGTATACCCTTGAGATTATCGAGGATGACCAACTCTGAAATAATAAGTTTTCTTATCTCAATTTTCCTGGCCTGTAGAAATATGTGCCCTAATCTTGTGAACCATAACTACTTTTACCCGTGAACATTCATAGAAATAGATCACTTTAGTCTTTCACCATCTATATTTACAAAGAAATGGTTCTGCAGCAAAGAGGCTTCATGGCATATAAATTTAAAGCCTATTACAAAAGGAGCATAATATTATAATTCCATTTGATATTGACTTAACATTTTTCATTTTGAGTGAAAAACTTAGGTTTTTTTATTGATATCTTTCTTTTGCCTGCATGCTTTCGTGCAGTTTGAGGTTGGAGAAGAGAAAAACATAAAATATTGATGGCCCTTTGTTGTGATTAACAAAATATTTAACCTTTTTACTTTTGCCCAGAACATCTATGTTTTGATACTGTGTTTTGAAAAGCTCCTCTCCCCTCCCCCAGAAAGGAAATAAATTCAAAATGTGACACCCTCTCAAACACCACCTCTATAAAAACTCAAATTGGGGCCAAAGGTGAGCACTTGTGGTGGAATGACTGCAATCATATATTCAGTTCAGGAGTGATAGAATAATTAAATTTAATTAAGACTCTGTGATCACGTACAATAGTGCAGCTGTCGTCATGTTTATCAAATAAGCCATAGCTGATGAAATAAGACAATAACACGACTTTCATGTCTGCAGACCACCTAACAACAAAAACATCCATGACAATGAATTACCTCCCTTTATACATGTTACCCTATCTGTTGTCAAAAAGGGACCCCGATATCATGTGTTAATCAATCATGTTTTTAATCAACGATTTCCTCCTGCCATCATGCACAAATTTACATAATATCAATTAAATCTTTAAAATGCTTAAGCCGTAATCACAAATACGTGTCAATGTCCAAGCGACAACGTGTTCAAGACGAGCTCACTTTCCCACAGGAGGCCCCTGTGGAGTTTCGGGTTTGTCGTCACTTCGCCGCTGATGGGGGCGTTAAATAATAATGCGTTTGCAAAATGAATCGGCGTGGCAGATATTATCGTCAAATATATACAACTCACCTCAGACTTGTACAAATTGCAATATGCAATTTCGATCGTAGAAGGAGTTACTCTTTACTGGTGTCCCACGCGAAGCAAACAGGTTTCTTGGCTCGAGAAACTTAGCGTTTTGTCTTGTTCATCGCGCCTTAGTGCCCACGTGGAAGAAGGGAAGTAACTCGTGGAAGCATGTATGCTTTGACTAAAATAAACCAAGAGCGTTAAAGAGGCATGACACAATTAAGTATTATTTTATTTACTTGGACCGTCCAAGAAAGTATATCCTTTGCTTTTTTGGGGTACACATAGTACATGACAAGTAAACGAAACTATTACAAATGTGGCATGTTTTCAACGATCTCTGCGCACATGCTCATTCCTGATGTGATTATAACATCACTGCCGCAGGCTAATTTGCATATCACGTGACCGGACTTTTCTCTTGCTTGTAAACAAACGCGCATATTCATAATAAGAAGAGACTGGCCTAACGCAAGCTTTTCGGGGCGCTCTTCACAATGTTTTACATTGTGACATGTATATTCTTCCACAACTGCGACAGTAACATTTATGACAGTACATATTTAGACATCAAACTGGCTGCATCGTTTGCTCTCTGTTGGCTTCGATGACAACACGTGGAGCCGTACAACCTATGTAAACAAAGGATCGCTGCGCAAATCGAAATAGTGTTACATGTTTTAGGATATTTTTTCAGTGAAACTAAACCATTCTATCAAAGATGTTTAATTAGATGTGTTGACTCGTCAAAAATAAATGAGTTAAGAAATATGTAGATTATATTGAATGGATGGTGCAAGATGTGACGAATCGTCACATCTTTCTGGCCTGTGGCAGAGCATGGAAATAGAGAAGAATATTTCTATGGGCAGAGGTACGATGCTGGCTTGCCGCATGGAACACTGGGTAGGAAAGTGACTGATTCACCGCGTACGAATACAATGAACGCGTTGACACTTTTGTTTGTAACAAACATGTCGGACATCGGCAATTTCTACTTTGGCAGCATCTTTGATTTTTTTGAAATAAAAAGCGAATAGTTTGAAGAAGAATTTCTTGACCCTAATCCCAGTGAAGAAAGTACGAAGCTGGAAAATTCGTCAGCAGCAAGAAGCGGCAGTATTCAAACCGGGTCTAGATCTAGCGGGCATGACGTCGACAACACACGTCTGCCCATACGTCTGTTGTGCCCTTAAACGCACAATGGTCTTAAGTGCACAGAAATCATGAATATTCATGAGTGGGCGGAGCTTATGTCACTACGTCACATACACGGCACAGTATCTTCCGCAGAACTAGTAGAGGGAGTTCACCTATGCCTCTTCGTCTGTTATTGCCTTATACAATGTGACAGCTACAATATGCATATGAGGTATATGTAAACATGAAGTATACGTGCCGTTTATTCAATATAATGTGCTGTATTGAAGTTTTGCGACGCAACTTCCCACGGTGAAGGAGTTCAAGCGAGAAAGCCTCCTCGAGAACAACCACGGTACCTAGCGTTGCGATGGAAACATTCACATGTCAATATTGTCATTGCTCAGTCCTGACTTTTCATAACTCTCCAACCAAACACAATAACATCTCTTGTCAACCAACTAAATACTTATACACAATACATATGTACGTACATATTGCCAGATCTAATTAAACTATCTCCACGTATTTCAATAGCGTCAGCTCTAATAGGGCGTCTAATGAAGGAAGGAAAGGTTACCCAGGCAGGCCAAAGTAATGCTACCTTTCCATGGCTATCAGGGCACTACAAACTTTGAAAAAAATATTTGAGATTTATATCCCAGGGTAACCTAGCATGGCAACAAATATTTCTGGAATTTGGGTCGTGTATCTGAAGTATCTGAGGAATCCCTCCAAATGGTAAAATTACTAGTTTCTGGTGTGAAGGTGCAGATAAATATATTAAAGATAAAAAAAGAAACACCATGTCAACACCTCGGCCAGTTTAAATGTCTGGCAAGTATATCCCTCCAAAGATACCATACTGCCAGGGTGTTTTGGTACTTTGGCAAGTCTTACTGAGTTTACTGATTGGCAGTTAAAATCATTTTCAATTATTTTCAACTTAACTTCCCTCTAAAGTAATTAATATAAAATCATTTTCATGGCATTTTCAACACCCCTTTGAACCTGATCCCTTTGACCATGTACAAACCCCCTCTAGACTGAAAATTTCATTCACTCTCTCCCATTTCAGCCAAGCTGGGCCGCTTCCTCAGCCAAGGCGGACAGTCAGTGTGCACCACAGAGGTTCTGCCAGCTGCCCAGGAGGGCTTCATCCAGCCCCAAGCACCCCAGGGGACTGGTAGGAAATGAAATGCATGTTGTTTTTGCTGTGCCTTTTTTAAAAGGTCCATTGTGTGATGAAGGTTTTCTGTGCACTTAAGGTTTCCTATAGCAGTCCTTAAGTGCACAGAAAACCTTAAATGCACAATGATGTCTTGGCCCCTCCCTGGACCCTCTTGGGGGTTTTGGCTGGTGCAGAGGCCCCACCTGATCCCTTTGACCATGTACAACCCCCTAGACTGAAAATTTCATTCACTCTCTCTCCCCATTTCAGCCAAGATGGGCCGCTTCCCTCGGCGCCAAGGACAGTCAGTGTGCCAACACAGAGGTTCTGCCAGCTGCCAAGGAGGGCTTCATCCAGCCCCAAGCACCCCAGGGGACTGGTAGGAAATGAAATGCATGTTGTTTTTGCTGTGCCTTTTTAAAAAGGTCCATTGTGCATTTAGGTTTCTTGTGCACTGAAGGTTTCCTATAGCATTCCTTAAGTGCACAGAAAACCTTAAATGCACAATGATGTCTTGGCCCTCCCTGGACCCTCTTGGGGTTTTTGGCTGGTGCAGAGGCCCCACCTGATCCCTTTGACCATGTACAACCCCCTCTAGACTGAAAATTTCATTCACTCTCTCCCATTTCAGCCTAGCTGGGCCACTTCCTCGGCAAGCCAAGGCGGACAGTCAGTGTGCACCACAGAGGTTCTGCCAGCTGCCCAGGAGAGCTTCATCCAGCCCCAAGCACCCCAGGGGACTGGTAGGAAATGAAATGCATGTTGTTTTGCTGTGCCTTTTTAAAAAGGTCCATTGTGCATTTAAGTTTTCTGTGCACTTAAGGTTTCCTATAGCAGTCCTTAAGTGCAATAGAAAACCTTAAATGCACAATGATGTCTTGGCCCCTCCCTGGACCCTCTTGGGGGTTTTGGCTGGTGCAGAGGCCCCACCTGATCCCTTTGACCATGTACAACCCCTCTAGACTGAAAAATTTCATTCACTCTCTCTCCCATTTCAGCCTAGCTGGGCCGCTTCCTCGCGCCAGGCCAAGGCAGACAGTCAGTGTGCACCACAGAGGTTCTGCCAGCTGCCCAGGAGGAGCTTCATCCAGCCCCAAGCACCCCAGGGGACTGGTAGGAAATGAAATGCATGTTGTTTTTGCTGTGCCTTTTGTAAAAGGTCCATTGTGCATTTAAGGTTTTCTGTGCACTTAAGGTTTCCTATAGCAGTCCTTAAGTGCACAGAAAACCTTAAATGCACAATGATGTCTTGGCCCCTCCCTGGACCCTCTTGGGGTTTTTTGGCTGGTGCAGAGGCCCCACCTGATCCCTTTGACCATGTACAACCCCCTCTAGACTGAAAATTTCATTCACTCTCTCTCCCATTTCAGCCAAGCTGGGCCACTTCCTCTCAAGGCCACGGACAGTCAGTGTGCACCACAGAGGTTCTGCCAGCTGCCCAGGAGGGCTTCATCCAGCCCCAAGCACCCCAGGGGACTGGTAGGAAATGAAATGCATGTTGTTTTTGCTGTGCCTTTTTTGTGAAGGTCCATTGTGCATTTTTAGGTTTTCTGTGCACTTAAGGTTTCCTATAGCAGTCCTTAAGTGCACAGAAAACCTTAAATGCACAATGATGTCTTGGCCCCTCCCTGCACCCTCTTGGGGTTTTGGCTGGTGCAGAGGCCCCACCTGATCCCTTTGACCATGTACAACCCCCTCTAGACTGAAAAATTTCATTCACTCCTCTCTCCCATTTCAGCCTGCTGGGCCGCTTCCTCGGCGCCGCCAAGGCATGACAGTCAGTGTGCACCACAGAGGTTCTGCCAGCTGCCCAGGAGAGCTTCATCCAGCCCCAAGCACCCCAGGGGACTGGTAGGAAATGAAATGCATGTTGTTTTTGCTGTGCCTTTTTAAAAGGTCCATTGTGCATTTATAGTTTTCTGTGCACTTAAGGTTTCCTATAGCAGTCCTTAAGTGCACAGAAAACCTTAAATGCACAATGATGTCTTGGCCCCTCCCTGCACCCTCTTGGGGTTTTTGGCTGGTGCAGAGGCCCCACCTGATCCCTTTGACCATGTACAACCCCTCTAGACTGAAAATTTCATTCACTCTCTCCCCATTTCAGCCTAGCTGGGCCGCTTCTCAAGCGCCAAGGCGACAGTCAGTGTGCACCACAGAGGTTCTGCCAGCTGCCCAGGAGAGCTTCATCCAGCCCCAAGCACCCCAGGGACTGGTAGGAAATGAAATGCATGTTGTTTTTGCTGTGCCTTTTTAAAAGGTCCATTGTGCATTTAAGGTTTTCTGTGCACTTAAGGTTTCCTATAGCAGTCCTTAAGTGCACAGAAAACCTTAAATGCACAATGATGTCTTGGCCCCTCCCTGACCCTCTTGGGGTTTTTGGCTGGTGCAGAGGCCCCACCTGATCCCTTTGACCATGTACAACCCCCTCTAGACTGAAAAATTTCATTCACTCTCTCTCCCATTTCAGCCTAGCTGGGCCAGCCTCGGGCGCAAGGCCAAGGCGACAGTCAGTGTGCACCACAGAGGTTCTGCCAGCTGCCCAGGAGAGCTTCATCCAGCCCCAAGCACCCCAGGGACTGGTAGGAAATGAAATGCATGTTGTTTTTGCTGTGCCTTTTTAAAAAGGTTCATTGTGCATTTAAGGTTTTCTGTGCACTTAAGGTTTCCTATAGCAGTCCTTAAGTGCACAGAAAACCCTTAAATGCACAATGATGTCTTGGCCCCTCCCTGGACCCTCTTGGCTGTTTTGGCTGGTGCAGAGGCCCCACCTGATCCCTTTGACCATGTACAACCCTCTAGACTGAAAATTTTCATTCACTCTCTCTCCCATTTCAGCCTAGCTGGGCCACTTCCTCGGCGCCATCAAGGGACAGTCAGTGTGCACCACAGAGGTTCTGCCAGCTGCCCAGGAGAGCTTCATCCAGCCCCAAGCACCCCAGGGACTGGTAGGAAATGAAATGCATGTTGTTTTGCTGTGCCTTTTTAAAAGGTCCATTGTGCATTTAAGGTTTTCTGTGCACTTAAGGTTTCCTATAGCAGTCCTTAAGTGCACAGAAAACCTTAAATGCACAATGATGTCTTGGCCCCTCCCTGCACCCTCTTGGGGTTTTGGCTGGTGCAGAGGCCCCACCTGATCCCTTTGACCATGTACAACCCCTCTAGACTGAAAATTTCATTCACTCTCTCCCATTTCAGCCTAGCTGGGCCACTTCCTCGGCACGTCAAGGCGGACAGTCAGTGTGCACCACAGAGGTTCTGCCAGCTGCCCAGGAGAGCTTCATCCAGCCCCAAGCACCCCAGGGGACTGGTAGGAAATGAAATGCATGTTGTTTTTGCTGTGCCTTTTTTAAAAAGGTCCATTGTGCATTTAAGGTTTTCTGTGCACTTAAGGTTTCCTATAGCAGTCCTTAAGTGCACAGAAAACCTTAAATGCACAATGATGTCTTGGCCCCTCCCTGCACCCTCTTGGCTGTTTTTGGCTGGTGCAGAGGCCCCACCTGATCCCTTTGACCATGTACAACCCCCTCTAGACTGAAAAATTTCATTCACTCTCTCTCCCATTTCAGCCTAGCTGGGCCACTTCCTCGGCACGTCAAGGCGGACAGTCAGTGTGCACCACAGAGGTTCTGCCAGCTGCCCAGGAGAGCTTCATCCAGCCCCAAGCACCCCAGGGGACTGGTAGGAAATGAAATGCATGTTGTTTTTGCTGTGTTTTTAAAAGGTCCATTGTGCATTTATAGCTTTCTGTGCACTTAAGGTTTCCTATAGCAGTCCTTAAGTGCACAGAAAACCTTAAATGCACAATGATGTCTTGGCCCCTCCCTGGACCCTCTTGGCTGTTTTGGCTGGTGCAGAGGCCCCACCTGATCCCTTTGACCATGTACAACCCCTCTAGACTGAAAATTTCATTCACTCACTCTCCCATTTCAGCCTAGCTGGGCCGCTTCTCGGCCACGCCAAGGACAGTCAGTGTGCACCACAGAGGTTCTGCCAGCTGCCCAGGAGAGCTTCATCCAGCCCCAAGCACCCCAGGGGACTGGTAGGAAATGAAATGCATGTTGTTTTTGCTGTGCCTTTTATTTTAAAGCATCGTAGAGAGCCTTCAGTGCTGACTGAATCAAATGACAGCAGTGATTGGATGATTTTATGTTGTTAAAATGTGCATTCATCCAGTAATTAAAACTAACTATATTTTTCAATGTGTAGTTGCTTCTTTTTAACCTGATTGCTTCTGCAGAATTTGTGCAGAGATATTTTCAAGTAGGTTACATTTTGGTGCTTAAACTGGGGTCGGCGCTTTTCACACTCCTGTATTACTCCTCTAAGTTTTACCATGACCCGAAGGAAAATAGGAGAATGTAGTGCCTTGTTTAAATGCACTGATTTGTCTGTGCTAATTTATTCAGGGTGACTTGTGACAGCTTAAAATGAAAGATCAGACATTTTACTTTATTGCCATTTGTTTTGTCCTCAATCTGCACATGCTATTGACTCCAGCCTTTCATGATTTGACCCCAAAGTTCAAGGCTGTTTAGTGTATTTCAGCTCGAAAATTCCGGTGACCGTTGTTGACAGTGGATACAGCAAAATTGAAATGCTCGATCCAGACCGATATTTTGCTGGGTAAGTGAGAAGTAGTATGTTGGTCAGCATGCCACAGGACAGCCTAGGACAGATATTAATTATGGTGCTCTGGCCATGGCATGTCACTGTAGATAGTAAAGTGGTCTGAGGCTATATGTACTACATGTATTGGCTGTTAACAGCCTGGTTGTTTTAATGTTGCTTTGGAAGTTAATGGGAAAACATTTGATTTTGTGCAACATGTAAAGGTGAGTGCACATTTTAGTAATTCATACATTACATGTATATGCTTTCCTATTTATGTTTCACCATGGATACAAGTTGGCATTGTTATAGAGACTAATTTAAGGGAGTGAAGCTAGGGCTGCTTGAGTTGAATGGATTGTTTTAGTGGCCTTGATTTGAATGTAGCCTCGATTTGTGGTCTAACAGTGACAAGAGCCCACATGGTAATAGTTACCTGGCTTCTAAATTTGTTGAAACCGATGAATTGACAACAAATTAGATAAAGTCACCACTGACACAATTTGGGTGTCTGTGTGTAAAGTCATATGATATGAGTATTGTGAGTATGAAATGTGTTCACTGCTGATGGCACAATATGTCACAAAACCCTCTTATTTTAAGTAAACAGTGTTGCATATGATCCATTCTTTCTGTTACACCCTTTTGCATATGAATAAACTTTTTCTCTCTCATGACTTTCAAACAATTATTTAGTTTCTCAAAACTGTCTCATGGCTGTTATGGTCTTTATGATTGAACATTTAATATGATCTTGACACTATTTTCAGCTTGGAGAATGACTGATGGTGACTGGGAGGTGTATCTTTGCACATACAGCAGAATCAGAAGCCTTCACATCCAATGTTGTGTTTCAACAAGTCGGTCTGATGTTGGCAGTGTGTGCACCCTCCTTTCACCTTGATATCCTCTACCACCTTGAACAAGTTGTGGTACTTGAACATGTAGGTACATACAGTACATTTAAGTGCCCCAGTCCAGTGAAGGCTGTATCTCAAACCTCATCCATTAGATATTTCTGATGAATAATAATCACTTTTGGGCATTTTTTTATTTCATGGAAGTATTTCAAAGTCTTAGCTTGATGAATTGATAGACTCATGTGTAATTTCGTTTCATGCTGTGGTCTCAAAGAGCTTCATCTGTTGAAATTTCAATTTCTTGGCTTTAACAGGCAGTAGGGTTCTTTGGTCAGTGTTTCACATTGCTAGGCATATTCCAACCCCTTACTTTATACTTTCTGGCAAAATTCATTATTCAGCCTTACATATGTCAGGACTTTAAAGCTGTTTATGGTGACCCTGGCCAATTTCTGGCCTGAATTCTGTGCTTTCTAACTTTCAACAATGTTTCTGATTCCTCTCCACTTAGATCACCAGCCTACATCAAAGATGCTTACACAAATGACTTTGGGGATAAATTAAAGATCAGACACTGGTGTTAGCCCTCTCTCATAAATGGTTTATCAAACCTGACAGTTGTTTGTTTACAATATAAACAATGCAGGAGTGTGTGTTGAAACAGTTTTAAACTATCTCAATCACATCAGGTCATGAGTATCAAAACCATATTCTATTAATGTAGCAGACTCTGCTATGATTTGATGATGTCAGCAGAGGAAGGCAAACAACTGACCATTAATGAACAGGAGTTGCATAGTTACTAGTTTTGAGGTTTAAAGATTTTCTGTCATTCGAAATATGATGTTGGCGTGAAATTATCCCATGACACTCTTTTTGTGACAAATGAATAAACTCCCATGGTATCTGTATGATTATAAAACATTCTATATTAATGCAGAAATACATTTTGCAAAACATTAATGAAATAGACATAATTTATCTCTTACAGGTCTTTCAGTGTAACAAATCTCTCTGTATCTTGTGCCATATAGACATGTTGGACAGGGAAAAGTATTGAAGCTTCATCCAATTCTTTTAAAAAAAATTTAAGTGACATATTTTGTAAGTGATATGTACACATATACAGGGCATGGGGTAGCCCACTGGTTAAAGTGTTCGCTTCCCAGGTTCGATTCCCCACATGGATGAAGCCCATTTCTGGTGTCCCCTGCCGTGATATTGCTGGAATATTGCTAATTGCGGCATAAAACTAAATTCACTCTCTCACTCACATGTACACATACAGTACATAAATCACAGATTTGCCTAGTGCAGATGTCTCCATTTTTTTCAACATTAAGACCTTTCTGTACGTTTAAGGGCAGCTGCAGAAGGGGTCATAAGTACACCTATAAACATCACATAGGAAGACAAGGCATTATTGACTTAAGTAGTTTAGTGATATTTCATGCAACATGTAAGTGCATGTAAGTATGCATTTCATATTTCATATTTATAATAACCTGAAGATTACAGCAAAATATATGAAAAGGAAGCACCAGCTGTTTATCACCTAAATAATTTTCTTTTGCAAACTGCTTTGGAGACTACCACATGTGAAATATTATTTAGTTGCCATGTCATTTACTCTGTTCAATGTTAGAGCATGTAAAACACATTTTGGACCAAAGGCCATTTTGGATGTATTTGACTAGGTGTGGTGAAAGTCTGACAATATAATTATGTTCACAGCTGAGTTGGCTAGATCACTGACTTTGTATGTTGGCGATTTGGTGGAGAGAGTCGGTTAAAATCCTGGATGGGACTGAACCCCAAACATGTCTAGAATGTGTATTTTACTGAGAAAGTGTAATCTTGCATATAACATGGATTCATGTGTACAACTTGTATAAATGTGATATGTTTTGACAATTATTATGTATATTGAAGAAAGGATTTAATGGATTTGAAGGACTTGGATAATATATGTTTCTTTTCCATTTTAAAAGGCTTAATAATTATTATGATTACCATTAATACATCACTGAGATGTACTACCACTTCAACAAGTAATCCATCCTAACTTAGTAAGTACAGAACCTAGCCTTTGTTTCTTAGTTTGAAGATAATTGTTAGTCATGTTAGTGTCTCATTTGCCCTAATTCATAATCAGCCACATATTAAGAATAGGCAGCAGCTGAACTATTTGGGTGTGATTACATCTTGATATGGTATGTTAATAATGGTGTGCATTAATATAGTGTTCAGTGACTGTTTATGTGTTTCATATGTGTTTATTATGTTATAATCTATTGTGCAGTGATATGTTCATTGTACCATACTGTCAGTATGTTTACCCAAATAAACTCTAAAGAGTAATCTTAATGCTGATGAGGCAACCACATTAAAATATGTTTTACCTCAGTTTGGTTTGTCTTATTCTTTTCATTTTTGTGGAATAACACTCCAGATAGAATAAAGAGGGTCCTTGTGTGTACTTTTGTATTGTATACATTTGTTAATAACTTTTGTAAGATGACTCAATAAATTATATAACATTATTAACATTAATCACATAATGTGAGATAAAATAGAAACAAACATATGAGATACAATTGAACCTAATGATGGATTTTGATGCATTTCAGGCACAACCTTCAAGAAATAGAAGCAATGGTGTTATTTCAAATGACATCATGACTGCCTTAGATTAAAACTTGAAGGAGGTGACATTCCCAGAAAAGTAGGATTGTCAAGTTTTATCATTTTTGTAAGAAAATGAACAAGTTTGATTTACCTTTGAAAGAAATCCACAACCCTGTCCATGGAAAATACAGACTGGAAATTATTGATGGGGACAGGAAAATAGTGATTCCTCAGTCTGGACTTCATAATGTCATATCCACAAATTTACACAGCTTGTTGGGTTCAGGATCCGAAATTCAAAATATAAGAACATTTATATTGATAAACCGGTATTATGCTGAAAAATTCTTAGGAACTGTACAGGAGTTTATTGATAAGCAGGGTGACAGGCAATTGTTATCCCAAATTTCCTAATGAAGCAAATTTGAAACCTGATATAGAAAACACCAGTGGGGCAACATACCATTGACTTTGTGGATCAACTACATAGGATCTACCTTGAGTATGGATGGGGAAATCCAAGAATACCACAATGTGACCAAGGCTCTGAGTTTAAGTGAGCAGTCAACCAATTATTAGTGGTGGTCTGATTAATTGAAATAATCGAAGATTGGTCGCAGTGACTAAATGACCAAGCAATCGAAAATGTTTTCTCAAAATCGAACACAAGCAGTTTTGGAACACTTGTTTGCATTAACAATATTTTTTCACAAGGTTGGTTTGTCTGAGTCATTATATTTACATTTCATAAGCACTACAAGCTTGTTCCAAGTCATGATTGAATTTATCTTAAAGACTCCTGGAAATTTATGTTCCTCACATACTAGCCATCCTTTAAATATGTGAAGTATGAAAATGCATTTTGTGCAATTTACCCCCAAACCCAAAGAACTACATGGGTTTTTTTTGTAAATTATTTTGTGCATTAACAAAGGTAACAGGAACATTTGATAAATGATCCTAACCAATTATTTTCGATTATTGATCGGTTGTAATGGACCAATGATCAATTTTAACCAATTCCCAACACTACTAATTATGCATTGAAATGGGAACAATAATTGTCATAAGTCTTAACTCATCATCCCTAATATCAGGGAAGAGTAGGAGATAAATAACAAATAACATATATGGGATCTGAAATATGATATGTAATCTATAAAGGTCATGTCCATGGTTAAGGTCATAGATGTAAAGGCATCTTCCTGATGCTTGATATGAAGGAAATTATTGTTGGTGTAAGTTGAACATATCAACGTTAGGGCAGAGCCACAAACACAGAACAGATGTATTGACTTGCAGGTTCCCACTCACTGGTCAGGCAATATATGCTCAGCTTTTTGTGAACTGTTGGTACCACCACAAACTGGTAGTAATTCATGAACACTGTATGCCATAGTCACAATCAGACAATTGACCCCACTTTTGTTAGGATTATAGAGATATTTTGCTAGTTTCATTTGCACATGCATGGCTGAAGATGTATTTGTTATTTTTCCATTGAGTGAATCAATGTATTTGACAGTTCACATCTTTCTGTCATGACACCTTAACAGGTATGCTCCTCTTTGGCAGTGTTATATACTGTAGTTAGACTTTTCTGTTTTGATGTTACATTTTAACCTCAATTGTCAAATAAGGCATTTTTAGTTAAATCTCAATATCTGTGTCTATTTTGTGCATCCCTTCATGGTTACTCAGAAAACATCAACACATGGATGCAGTTATTATTTATATTATGGCATTAAAAAACAAATGTTTGTGTGTATAAATAACTTCATATGTTTACAGGTTGTTCACCATACCATCCCATGTTGGGTTGCCCCCCAGTCCAGATCAACAGTTTGTTGAGGAAAAGCTTGGAATTCAGTTGATGCCTATTCTTGCTGTGAAGAGGAGCAATCTGAACTGTATGCAGGGGCACTGTTGAATTTTTAGATTTAGCATTTAATTAGGCAAGTGGGCACATCTGTTATCCCATGTCATACAACAGTGCTGTATCTATATAGGTGAAAATAGATCCCCAGGAAAAAATCCCTATGTTGAGTCAGGTGACCAGGAGGTAGTCAGTCTTGGTAAACTAGTTTATGGTACAGCTGGAGTAGTCTGGGATGTTAATTATAATGCAGAGTCAATTATAAAGAAAGGTACAGCATCATACAAACATTAAAGGACTGATGAATGCTACATTATTATGATTATTATTATTATGAATTTATGACTTCAGTCTTTGCTGTCAAATGCAAAATCAGTCACTGAAAAGTACCAGGGTACCATTTCTAATTCATGGCATTACAAGGTATTGAAAGCTTTAAGAGTAGGGAGGAGTGAAAGATTTCGGTGTAGTCATTATTATGTAACTTGTGCTCATATGCTTTAGGATTAATGGTATGTTCTCTTATGTTTACACTTCTGGTGATTTTATGCACCATTGAAAGGGAAAAGGATGTAGATTTCTGTGCCCTCTTGTTACTCTTTTGCACAAAAGCTATGATTTAAAATCAGTTTGACAAAGTGTATTCATATTGTATCTTAACATTCCCATGTTTTTATGTATTTTTTTATTTGTTCCCATAGTCAAAGGTATACAGTAACAACAAACACCGAAAAGGTGTAAAGATGTAATTATGATTTGTTGCTGAATATTGGCATGAGTGAATTCCATTTAAGACTTAAGACTGAATTTATCAATTTATTTATCAATTTCATTGTTTCCCTTGAAAATAAAGTTTTGAACAGAAAATATCTCTTTGATGCCATTTTATATTTAATGAATTTTGGAATTGATTTTTAGATTTACTTTAAATTGATATGTTTTTGGCAGAGATAATGATTTGATTTAGTAATACATCATTATGTAATGTACCAAACCAAATCAAATATTTTGTAATGTTTATTTTTCATGGTAAATAGTTATTAATTGATTTCGAGATCATTCCAGAATTTTATGGTTTCACAACAGTCCTAATAAGCACAACAAATGCTCTCAGAAACATCATTGCAAACTAACGGTAGACAAATCATTTTCAGTCAGGTTCATTTTGAATAATTATATTTTAGTATAAATAACTATTTGCAGAAATGTGTATTGAAAATAAAGAAGGTTAACATCTTCAATACATGTCAATAGAAGTTGAAAATTTTGTGCCAATCAAATTCACAATCATTGAATATCATTTCCCATTTAGTACAAATCTCAAGTTTGTCATTTTAGAAATACACTTGTCATTAAGTAATCTTGAACCCTTTGAGAGCTTTAATATATATTTTTAAACTTATCCTATCTCACGGTATGCACCCATCTCTCTCTTCTAAGACCATGTGTGGAAACGTGCTGTCAGCTAAGTTGAGTCAAATCTAACTGGCCTCTGACCCGCCCTGACCTCTGCCTTCACCCCCCGACATCAATGCCTGTCAATCATCCATCAAAGCGTGCGGCTCGCCTAAACGATCACATGACCACCTCTACTTGTCATTCTTTTCTTGTCGCCACGCTGTGTGTGGACGTGTGTTGTGGTTAAGAGAGGTTTTTGTTTGTGTTTTCTACTATGGGGAAAGCCAATCGCCACGCTTCAAAGAAACACAAACATTGTGATAGATGCAATAGTAACTATTCGGCAGCTGACCCTCATAACTCTTTGGCGTGGATTGCCATGAACGATGCAATTGGTCTAAACGCTGTAGTTTATGTGCTAACCTGGACGACGATGCATTCTCAGAGTATCGCCGGGTAGCTAGCAGGCTAAGGCAGATAGAGATCGGAGGAATCCATCGGAAGGTCCATCGGAGCCGGCGTTTCTAAATTAGATCGCCGAATAAAATCTGCAATACGTTTCTAAATCCAAATCTCCTAAAGAAGATTTTCTGTGCTTCAACTGTTCTGACCCCATTCGCCTAGTTCTATTACTTTGAAAGATTCGTCACCTCCACGCATTGTTGTTTTGTCCACATCTGACATACAACCACGCCATCCTTGTTGGTAAATGTGACTCAACGCCTCTAATGGGTCAGAGGTTGCGACTACTCATACTATTACATCACAAGTGACGGTTACAGGCAGTGCGGCGCTTTCAACCAGAGCGGCGCTTACCTCGAGTGACGCCTCATTAGGACAATTATATACGGGCAGAGCCGCTTGTCACGGATCCCACGCGGGCTACTCAGAGCCGCCTTCCAGTGTGGCGCTTTGATGGATTCGGCGCTTACTACCAGTTCGGCGCTTCCTACTGGTTCGGCGCTTAACCCTGGTATTCCTGGTTCGGTGTTTACTCCGGGTTCGGCGCTTCATGGTTTTGCGTTTCCTCCCAATGGTCCTGGTTTGACGCTTGCATCTGGTTCGACGCTTCCTTATGGTGCTCCCAGTTCGGCGCTTCCTCCCAGGATTCCCGGTTTGGCACTCACTAATGTTGGTCTTGGCTCGGCGCTTGCTCATGGTATGCACGGTTTGGCACCCCTTCCTAGGACTCCTGGCGCGGCACTCACTCCTGGTCCGGGCGCTTCATCCTGGTTCGGCGCTTCCACCCGGGTTCGACGCTTTGCTTCCGTGTTCAGGGTTTGACGCTTCTCCTGGTGCGGCGCTTGCTCCCGGCGCTTCCGGGTTTGACGCCCCTACTAGTTCGACGCTTCATCATGCTGCTTTTAATTCAGCCGCCACGGCCGTCCTGGTTCGGCGCTTTACTCATAGTATTATTGATCAACGCCACCCAGGGATTCCTATTGCGAGTTTCACTCATTGGCCACTAGGCTCAATGCTTACTTATGGTGTTCCTGGTGCGGTACGATCTCAAGCTACTGAGTGGTTCATGGTTCAACGCCTCAGGTTTCAGCGCTACTACACAAGTGCCATCATCTCATGTGGGCGTGACTCAATCAGATGTATGTTCATCCTCGCCATGCTGACATACCTCATCTTCCCTCTGGGGCTGCTACAATTTCATCAGTTCCTTCTGCTACAGTTTCGACGGCGAGATCTGTTTTGCCGCTTTCCTGGAATCCAGTGTCTGAGGGGCAACGCCTCAACCTATGGACTTTGATGCCTTTGTGTTGGCGGTAGCATCAGGAGCCAGTGTCATCTCCTGTTACTCAGTCATCAGGATTTCGACTACGCCAGCGTGCCTGTGCAAGAGATTCTACGCTCAACAACGCCGCCTATGTCTTCAGGAAGTATGTCTCCTTCGGATGTGAGTGTGGATGCTGTTGACTCACCTCAGCTACTTATCTGGATTGCTGATGACCTCACGCTACAGCGTAGTACTTCTCAAGGATGACATTTTATCCAGTTTTGATATGAAGACTGGAGACTTTGGTTCTATCATGTTCCTCCCCGACCGCAGTATCACTCAGCTGACTGCGTCCCTGGATGAGGCTTTTGCTAGTTTGAGGAAGATTAAAGATGGTTTTGCTGCGCCTCGCTTCAACTTGGCATCGGCTCATGTACATGGATTGTCATCTATGATTGCCTCTCCTCCAGTAGATGATGATATCACGCTGTTTGGGACGAAACAGAGAGATTATTCGCCCTTTCTGGTCGAAGACCGTGAACTGATACATTTAGATGCGTCCATAAGGAAGATTATGGCTCCATTGAACTTAATGTTGACAACTACTGAAGCGGTGGCCATGTTCGTCGCGCAAGCATGCGCTGCCCATCAGCAAGCATACATCCGAAGTTGCAGGAACAATTCCAAACCGTCCTAGATCTCTTGGCTCATTTCTTCTTCTATGTCACGGCTATGAGGCGTAGAGGACCGTTACAATTATCATCCTGGGAAGACAGATTCAGAACGGACCTGTTTCACCCACCCTGGTCGGGCAATTTCTCTGTTCAACGGGACGATTAGGGAAGTAGCCGAAAGAGTAGGGAAGGATGCCCATCTACAAGTCTCGGTCCGAATTGTTGAGGTTCCAGCAACTACAAGTGGAGCAATCAATGAGACAGCGACGACCAGCTCACTATGTCCCGACTAATCCGACCTTCGCTTGGTTCTACGGCTTTTTCGTGGAGGGGTTCCTACGGAAGAGGACGATCGAGTCGCCAACGAAGAACTGCCACTGCTCCACGATCAACTTCCACTACCGACCAGCCCACCTCACAGAGACGTGATAGGCAATGACTTGTTGACATTGAAAGGCCACTGGGAACTTCCACCTCCAGTCGTACTCCATTCAGATTTCCCAGTAGGAGGCTGACTTGCTCCCAATTGGACAATTTTGGGAGACCCTTACGTCCTGTCCATGTTAACCAAGGGATTCCAGTTACCAGTCATCGGGAAACCTCCGCCACAATACTTCCGATCGCAGAACGTATCCCAAACAACAATCGGCTGTTCTGTGATCAACGATAAACACTTTACTCAAGAAACTTGCGATCGAATCCCTGGGTCCGCCCCCGACCAATCCAGGGTTCTATTCTCCAATCTTTCTGGTGCCCAAGAAGGATTCGGACAAACTGAGATTAATCTTCAACATGAAGACTTTCAACGAGAAATTTCTGCAGCCCCCGCCTCATTTTCACATGATATCGGTGGCACTCCTCAAGACAATTATCAAGCCGGGAGACTGCATGGTCAGTTTGGATCTTCAGGATGCCTACCTCCACATCCCGATATTCCTGGCGATCGCAAATTCCTTCGGTTCATCTTCGAGGACATCCACTATCAATGGCGTGTTCTCCGTTTGAATTTCTTCGCCCCCGTGGCTGTTTACACGGGTAACGAAGCCTATCACCAGTTTTCTTCATCGCAAGAGGACAGTGTTCGAAGCCTACATCGACGACTGCATTCAGGCACAGAACGATCATGCCCTTCTGGTTCGTCACATGCAGTTTGCGATACAGCTTCTTTGCCAATTAGGATGGTTAATCAATCTGCAGAAATCGGAACTAGTCCCAATGTGCCGACTTCAATTCATCGGAGCTGTTTTCGACACACAGGTCAACAGAATGTTTGTCCCGAGGGATCGTTTCTGCAGATACAGCGGTTGGTCTCCCTAGCTCTAGCGCAAGCCAGGACGCCTGTCAATGGCAGGAACTCCTAGGCCTCTTGACGTCGGCTCAGAAGACTATGAGGCAAGTCCTGTACTACATGTAGAGAAGGTTGACATTCCGCTTACTGACCTCTACTCTTTGAGCAATCACGTCAGTGAAGTGTTGATCCCGATTACCTGTATGGTTTTCAAAGCCGCTCTGCTCCTAAGTCCTTTCTCACCTTTGGTAAGTTAGGGAGATTGGTACTGAACGTTAAACTAGTTGAGCAACCAGGCTATTCCTTCTTTCACCGCCTTCCAGCGTGTGTCTGTGGGGGATACTTTCGAAGCAGGGACTGTCCAGATTAAGGTCCTGGACTTTAATTCACTGGGGTCACCTGATAAATCGCGGGGTGGCGGGGCCTCCTTGCCAAACTGCGTCCTTTTGCTTGTCAAAAGTTGCGGCTGAAAACCACATTAACTCGGGAGCGCCCACTCCTTAGAGTTTTTGTGCTGTATAAGCCAAGGGGTTACCTGAAAAAACACAAAAACAACAAAAACATCTCAAGTTTGGAGTTTGCATATCGAGGAGTTGGTGCTTTCTCCTGGCCTCCTTGAGTTATGCGTTTTCCCGGTGGTAGTAGTAACCGGGTAATCTGCAACCCGCCTACCAACCGTGGGATTATGCATACCGTGAGATAGGATAAGTTTAAAAATTTGAAAATTTTATAATAAATTGTATATTTATATACTTGTCCTATCTCACATGTTTGGACCCACCTGACCTGCCCCACATCACAGATTACTGGAAGCTCCAAGACGAGAATGACAAGTAGAGGTGGTCATGTGATCGTTTAGGTGAGCCGCACGCTTTGATGGATGATTGACAGGCATTGATGTCGGGGTGCAGGCAGAGGTCAGGGCGGATCAGAGGCCAGTTAGATTTGACTCAACTTAGCTGACAGCACGTTTCCACACATGGTCGTAGAAGAGAGAGATGGTGCATACCGTGAGATAGGATAAGTATATAAATATACAATTTATTATAAAATTTTCAATTCTTTTTGGTAAACATTGATGTATGAATTGTAGGAAGGAATGATAACTGTATTTTTAATAACATTTTTCCAAATATCAGGTCAGATTTGAAGTAGATAGTTATAGTCTAATTGTGTCCCTCTTATTTTGTATTGTATCTTTAACTTATCAAAAGGCATAAATCCATGCTCATCACATACATCTTTTACTGTCAATAAACCCTTATACGCCCAGTGTCTAATATAAGTGTTTTTATGATTATGATTGAGCCATAATGGTTGTGCAAGAATGTGATCAGTATTGTCAGAATCGGCATTAACCTTTTTGCAATAATTGTTCCATGCTTTTAAACATCTTTCCAATAAGGGTTTTCAATGTTAAGTATTTTGTGAATATTTGCTCCATACTTGAAGATATCATTATAAGGTATATTGAAAGGATTATTGTCGGATGATTTTTTACAGTAATTATTGTCTAAGAGTGGATAATTTTAGAGCTTCAATAAATGTTTTTATATCAACCATACCCAGTCCCCCTTCAGCCTTTAATCTTTTCATTGTGATTCTTTTTATTATATCATTATTACCATTCCAAATGAATTTGAAAAATATCTTTTCAAGAAACTTGCTAAAGCCATCTGGAGGATTAGGCAATGAGCTTAAAATATGTACTACTTTTGAGAGGGCTAATGTTTTTATGACAGTAACCTTTCTTATCAATGTTCCTAAGGTTATATGATCAAGCTGGATTGTGTCAAATAGTTGTTTTATTTAGAGAATGTGTTATTGCCATCGATTTCAAATAGGAATATAACACACACTCACACACACACACACACACACACACACACACACACACACACACACACACACACACACACACACACACACACACAAAACACACCACAAAATTATGACAGGGTCATAGGTAAATTTCTAATAACAAAAAATTGCACTCGACTGATTTTTATGTCACTGGATGAACATTGGTTGATGGTAACTTAGTGGTAAATAAAATCATCACTGTTTAAACAAGTTCATGGTCAGCACAGGTATGGATGGTATATAGTGCCTAAATGCAAGAGGTAATTCGTTTAGAGTGTGTGATGAAGCATTTGTTGATATTTAGCAATTTCTAGAGCCAACAAAGAAACAGTACATTTTTAACCATTTACAATGATCCACTCTTATATGAACCCATGAAGATACGGGTTAGAATTGATCTTCAGTAACCCATGCTTGTCGTAAGAGGCGACTAACAGGATCAGGTGGTCAGGTTTGCTGACTTGGTTGACACGTCATCTTATCCCAATTGGGTAGATCGATGCTCATGCTGTTGATCACTGGGTTGTCTTGTACAGACTCGATTATTCAGAGACCGCTGCCATATAGCTGGAATAGTGCTGAGTGTGGCGTAAAACTTAACTCACCTACTCACTCTTATATGTACCCTGAAATGAAAACATTGCTGATGCCTGGATTTGTACCAAAGTAGGTAAAATATCATATTTTTCACATGTATTGTCCTAACAGACTCATTGCCAGATGCAAAAGAAGGAGAAACCCATGACAAAAAGGTTATTACAATTTGAGACACTTTTAAGAAATATTATAATGGTAAGCATTGCTTTATGCTAAAGGAACATGTTTGCACTTGGTGATAAATAATTTTACTTTTCAGGAAGGGGAGAACAGACTCCAAACAAGAGTAGATGTGATGACACCAAGAAAGGTATTAGCTGATGGGTATAGTATATGGGACTAATAAACTCAAGATGAATCATAATTTGGTATGTAAATGCTAAGTATGAGGTTGTGTCAGTTTCTCATTTGGCTTCAGATATGGCATTTTCTCACGTCATTCATTTTTCTGAAATGGTTTATTGTCTCAGTTGATAAATGCTACATTTGTACATACATTGAAGAATATTTGTGATACTCATGAAAATGTGTATGTGGGGATACTAGAAGGTACAGACTGTAAAAGAACTGGAGCTATAGGCCTGATTTTGTGATGTTGAAAATTGGACAAGAAGTGCAGCTAACTGCATATCTATTGCACTGTCTCAAAACCACCAAAATGAGATCAGTCTGGAAACATTTGTAAAAAGAAACAATGAATGTTTTGTTTTGTAACAGTGTAATGATGCAACATGTTACATCTTGGTGCAGAATAGAAAAAGTGGATATGTAATGTCCATTTAAGGGAACGTTAATTATTTATGGCTTTTTGTTACATTGGTTTTTTTAATTTATTTTTATTTATTTATTTATTTTTATTTATTTATTTATTTATTCATTGTGATGCTTCAGAAAAAGGTAGGGTAATGTAATGTCCATTTAAGGGAACGTTCATTATTTATGGCTTTTGTTACATTTTATTTTTTTATCATTTATTTATTTTTTTATTTATTTTTTATTTATTTATTTATTCATTGTGATGCTTCAGAAAAATTAGGATAATGTAATGTCCATTTAAGGGAACGTTCATTATTTATTTATTTATTTATTTATTTATTTATTTATTTATTTATTTATTTATTTATTTATTTATTTATTTATTTATTTATTTATTTATTTATTTATTTATTTATTTATTTATTTATTTATTTATTTATTTATTTATTTATTTATTTATTTATTTATTTATTTATTTATTTATTTATTTATTTATTTATTTATTTATTTACTGTGCATTAATTAGGCACCACCCTTTTTTGAAAATAAGATGTGATGCTTCAGAAAAGTTAGGGTATAGCCATCAATTTAATCAACCTGTAGTTAAAAAAGCTTTATCCACTGACAGTTTTACAGATACCATAACCTTTTCTATTCTTTATGAAAGAATATGTTGATTAAAATGTGATTGGACTGAAATTTTACACAAAATAATTATTCTCTCCTGCTCAAACTACACAATTGAATTACGTTTTGACTAAGAATAACAATTCTGTTATATACCAAGATGACATTTACACATCAAGTTAGCTTTAATTATGCATAATCAGGAAGAACCCGAATGTCAAAGATTCAGACATCTTTCCAACAATTCAGATTGCTAATTGACAAAACTGAAAAAAGGCCACATTAATAAGATTTTGGAATAAATGTTTTATGATTTTGAGTTTATTGTAATGAATAAACACTTCCCCTGCCGGATACTGATAATTACAGCTAAAATCTGTTTGTTTTGTTTGTAAAGCAACTTTTAATGCATTTTAAAATTTGCCTTTTTTTCAGTTTGACTAACTTTTCTAAATCTTAGTTTACAAACTTTCATCCATTCACAATAAATAACGAATGTATAGGCCACACAACAATCAATTATTACTTTCACTTTTCAAAACACCTGTTTTTAATATGGGCAATTATCCTAATCAAAATTCAATGATGTTTTCGTTTTTGAAATGTTAAATGCTTGCTCTATCAAATCATAAAGGTTATTTTTGGGAAGAGTTGAGAATTTTATTTCAGACAAAATTAATTGGTAGAAATAGAGGGTGGTGCTTGTTTTATGCACAGATGTTTATTTATTTATTTATTTATTTATTAATTTATTGATTTAGATTGATTGATTGATTGATTGATTTTGAGGGGTGGGGGTGGTGATGATTTTAAGGAGGGGTCACCCATTTTCTTCTGGGAGGTAGGGGTAGTCGTGCATTTTGTACACATGTACCCGGCAGGGCAGCAATTTTGTACATAATTATATTTAAATTATAAATATACAAATTAATGTGAAGGCGAGGGAGGGAGGGGGGCATAATTGTATTTGTACATGGGAGGGGGTCACTTCCTTTGTACATAAATTTTAAGTTACTCAGATTGTACATGCTTCTCCATAAAAATCATCAAACTCCTCCCCCCCTCCCCTTGTGATTTTTGTTGGACTTAAGGTTGTACTGCCAAAAGAAAATTAGCTTGCTAATGCTATTATTATCTCATTGAAACTGACTTTTGCTATTTTTTTAACAAGCATAAAACATTAACTGAGTTAATGTATCTCGGTTGATGTATAACACAGTTTCCCAAATATGACCAAATATTGTGATGC